TTCTTCCGGGTGAGCCTGAGGGCGCTGGGGCGGCGTGGCTGTGGCGCCCATGGCCCCCGTGGCCCCCTGCCTCACAAGATGGCCTTTAGGACCTGCAGGACAGAAATGTGGAGACTTTTCTGGCCTTGGCCCGGGATGCCTTGGACATGACCTTTGGCCTCACTGACAGGCAACAGCTCTTCCAGAAGTTCAGCCTCCCCAGGGACACTGTAGTCCTCCTCAAGGCGGTGGGTCAGGGCCGGCGGGGGGTGGGCGCGGGGTCCCTCTGACACTAGGAGTGTCCAGTTTGATGAGGGGAGGGCTGACTTCCCAGTGGACGAGGAGCTGGGCCTGGACCTGGGGGACCTGTCCCGCTTCCTGGTCATACACAGCATGCACCTGGTCACGGAGTTCAACAGCCAGGTGAGCGGGTGGCCGGAGGGGCCGGTGCTGGGGTGCGGGTGCCCACAGGAGTCACAAGCCCCTGTTGCTACAGACGTCCCCAAAGATCTTCGCCGCCAGGATCCTCAACCACCTGCTGCTGTTCGCTAACCAGACGCTGGCTGCACACAGGGAGCTCCTAGCAGGCTTCAAGGAGGCGGCCCCCCAGTTTCGGGGGCAGGTACTGGGTGGCCGGGAGGGCGGCCGGGAGGGCGGCCGTGGCGCAGGGTGCCCATGGAAGACTGCCTGCCCACAGGTGCTGTTCGTGGTTGTGGACGTGGCTGCTGATAACGACCACGTGCTGCAGTATTTTGGCCTCAAGGCCGAGGAGGCCCCCACCCTGCGTTTGGTCAACGTGGAAACCACCAGAAAGTACGCGCCCACGGGCAGGGGGCCCATCACCACAGCCACTGTCACCGCCTTCTGCCGCGCAGTCCTCCATGGGGAAGTCAAGGTCTGTCCCTGACAGGCATGGGGCAGGGTGGGGAGTGGTAGCCCTTCCCGGCAGGGAGGCAGGCCCGGCTTCTGCAGCCCTATCTCCTGAGCCAGGAGGTGCCCCCGGACTGGGACCAGCGCCCGCTGAAGACCCTTGTGGGCAAGAACTTTGAGCAGGTGGCTTTTGATGAAACCAAGAACGTGTTCGTCAAATTCTGTGAGTGCCCAGTGCGGTTCGGCGGGCGCGTGGTAAGCTGCCCCTGCCTGTCCTAGACGCCCCGTGGTGTACCCACTGCAAGGAGATGGCCCCAGTCTGGGAGGCCCTGGCTGAGAAGTACAGGGACCATGAGGACATCATCATTGCCGAGCTGGACGCCACAGCCAACGAGTTGGACTCCCTCGCCGTGCACGGCTTCCCCACCCTCAAGTACTTCCCAGCAGGGCCGGGCCGCAAGGTGAGGGGGCCGTGGCCGAGGAAGCGGCTGGGACTGCGGTCTGCCTGGGGCTGCGAGGGCGTGCGGACAGGGCCGCGTCCTCCGGGCCACCTGTCTCTGTCCAGGTGATCGAGTACAAAAGCGCCCGGGACCTAGAGACCTTCTCTCGGTTCCTGGACAGCGGGGGCGAACTGCCCGCGGAGCAGCCCACAGAGGAGCCCACGGTCCCTGCGGCGGTAGGTACCCAGTGGAGGTCCCGGGCCTGGCTCCTCCCTGGTGGGGCTGGCCGTGGGCAGAGCTGAGCTGGGCTCTGTCTGACACCCTCTCTAGGAGCCACTGGCTAATTCCACTGTGGAGGCCAAGGAGGAGCTGTAGTTGCCCCACGTCACCCGTGTCCCCACACCACTGTCCTTGGGTACTGAGGGACCTGGCACTGTGAATAAAGAACTGGTCCTGACCAAATGCGTGTGGCTCCTGGCTAGCTGCCACCCCACCTGGCCTGGCCCTGCCCCCGGTCACATCAGCCTCCCAGCCCATTCACCTTGCATGGGGCACAGGCCTCATCTGTCCTGCCCGTGCTGCCTGGGCCTGGGGGTGCAGCGCCACCTGGCGATGGCAGAGTGTCGGGGGGCGAGCACATGCGCCCGCAGTCGGCAGCGGCAGAGAGGCCGCTACAGGCCACGGCAGGTTCAAACAGTTTTATTTCATGATTACCCAAGTACCTTCGAAAAGGTCATTGTACAAGTCATCGTGTGAAAAATGGGCCCGGGGCGGCCCCGCGGGCCCTGGCCTGAGAATGTACATATTTACACAGGCCCTTCGGAAGGAGGGGCCGGGGCTGGGCCGGCGCGGCTGGGGCGGAGGGCGGAGGGCGGAGGGGGAGCCCGGGCTCCGACGCCGGATTCACACAGTGGCAGGCAAGAGGCAGCTGTGCTGAAGGCACTCGGTGACACGCAGTTTATGGCAGCCCCGTGGGCCTGTGGGCCTGGGCCTGGACCCAGCCGGACAGATCCCCAAGGAAGAAGTGGACGCTGGCCGGCGCAGGGTGCCCGTGGGTCAGCCCTTGGCTAGCAGCAGGGTCGCTCGGGGTCACGGGCCGTGCGCTCCAGTATTGCTATGGAGAAGTGGACAGGGTCCTGCCTCGGCCCAGGGTCTGGTGCCAATACTCGGGGCCCCGCCCCCAGACAGACGCGCCGAGCGGACAACACACCCCCGGCACATGGCCCGTCCCTGTGCGCCACACACGGACTCGTGACACGCACGTCTCAATCACCCGCACCATGGGCTCCGGGGGCGAGGTGCCCGCCTGGTCCCACACGCTGGGCACAGCGGGTGTCCTCGGGCTGGCGCGGCGGCCAGGCCTGCAGTCAGTCCACCTTCTCCACTTTGCCAATGATCTTCTCCTCGAACACGGGCAGGACGGCCTCGTCTTCCCGCACTTCCTCGAACACCACGCCGCAGTCGAACTCGTCGCTCACTTTCTTGAAGTAGTATCTGGGCGCGAGGGGACGGCAGTGAGGGCTGGCTCCTGCCCGGCTCCTGGGATGGCCGTCTGACGGCACTGGGGGAGTGGGTCGGGGGTTCCCGTGCCCCAACGGCTGACCCCGAGGTCCCCTACTCTGGCCCAAGTGCAGGCTTCGCGGGCTCTCTGGAGCTGGCCTGCTCTGCTCCCAGCCCTCGCTCAGGAATGGCAGCACTCAGACAAGCTGGCCACCATCATGGGTTTCTGTGTCCCCACCTTCACGAGGAAGACCCTGGACTCGGTCCCTACAGATCCTCTGTGGTTGGCCTGAGGCCACCACCCCGTTTCAGGAGAACAGCCCAGGGCCTGGCGCGACAGGCTCTGAATACAGACAAGGCCCTCCTGGTGGGACCGGGCCAGCCGAGCACCTGCCTGCCCGAGTTGCTCACCTGTAACTGCCCCTCTTGGTCAGCAGCTCCTTGAACTGGCCCAGGGTGACCGTGCGGCCCCTCACCAGGGTCCGGTAGGGGATGGGCTCCCCACAGAAGTAGTAAGCCACCACGATGCTGTCACAGGGCGGGGCGCCCCCGCTGCCCGCCTTCCTCTGCGGCTTCGTCCTGGGGCAGACAGAGAACTGCAATCATGGTTTCCGGCCAGTAGTACCAGGCAGCCCTCTAGGCCTTGGGCTGCCAGGTGACAAGGCAGGCCACAGCGGCAAGCCACACTGCTCAGAAACGGCCTTGCTGCCCCTCCGGCCCCGTTGGCCCCACATGGCGCCCCACCCAGGGTCCCGTGCCAGGCCTGCTCAGGGCTCAGCTCTGTTCCCCAAGCTCCTCCTCCCGTGGCCTGGGAGCAGCTGTGACAGCCAGGCCAGGCCTCGGCTGCCCAAGACGACCACTGCTGGAGGGCAGGCCGTGGCCAGGCCTGCACACGGGCCTTGGGGTGGAGTGAGGCCCCTCCATGGGGGGGCCACAGCCGTCATGTGCGGCCAACATGTGCGGCCGCTGTTGGGGTGACAGACCATGTCCCCCTGCGTTCTGACCACTCCAGAACCGCCTAGGCCTGCTCAGGGCTGCCCTGCCCATCAGGTGCACTTAGAAGCTTCCAGAGCAGGTATAACGGCAAGAAGGCCCCACGGGCGCCTTCCCACTGGGCCCGGGCCAAGAGGGCACCTCGGCCAGGTGACCGCCCACATGGCGAACCAGGCCCTCAGGCGCCTGTTCCCTTTGACCTTCCCTGTGCTTGCACCCTTGAAGCCCACCAGGCAGAGCCGGCCCAGCCGAAAGAGCAGCCTGTGGGGCCCACTGCCCCAGGGTAGGTGGAGGGACTGGAGGGCATGCAAGCTCTCAGGCTGGGCACACACGGTGAGGCCTATGACTGGGTGCCCGTCCTGCCACACTGAGCAGGAAGGCAGGAGGGAGGTCAGCACCATGTGCCGACCCACGGTGGCCCCTGGCGTGGACGTGGCCGAGCTCTTGCTCCTGGGCTGTGGGTGCTCCAGGGCACCGGACTGGCCAGGGACACTGGGTGGGTCGACTGCCCGAGCAGCTGAGGTCTGCAGCCCCGGCCCTGCTCAGGCCAGCCAGCCATGGCCCAGCAGACGGCCAGGCCCGCGTAGATCACAAGCCAGCTGGCCACGGTCACCATGAGGTGGCAAGAGCCCTTCTGATGGCCAAGAGGGACATGCCCGATGGCTCAGAGCCCAGCCGTACAAGGCCCTCTGAAGCCCTGGCTGCCGTCCAGGAGGCTTCTCCCCTCCAGGATGTCCAGCTGGGGCAAGCCCGGGGCCCTCGGGGCTCACGTACTCTGTCTCGGAGAGCTCCGTGTCCGACACGGCGGGCACCCCACTTAGCACTGCCGTGCACGCTGGCCTGGCGCAGGTGCGTCCCCGCTGCATAACCTCCTGCACATACCTACGGGACAACCGCGTCACTGGGGCCGCCAGCCCCTGGGGTGCCTCCACATGGCGCGCGGCACAACCCACGGTGGGCGGGCGAGGTGCCGACCCCCCTTCCGGGCTCGGGGATGCCAGAGGCCGTCAGACCGTCCAGCATGGTGCCTCTGCCCAGTCCCTCATCTGGCCACAGAGCCCCTGGGTTCCCTGGAACACACTCTGGGACCCCTCTGCCTCCTGCTCCAGTGGAACAGAGTCCACATGGCCCAGAGCCTTCCGGAGAACCTGCTTCTGGCCTGCTGCCTCAGGCGTTCTGTGGACATGGGCGCATGGGGACGGCTCCGTGGGGCAGCTGCTCAGACTCAGCAGCTCCTTCCTGCTGGGCACCTGCTCCTGTCCACTGACCGAGATGTCCACTCTGATCTGCCAGGTAAGGGAGGCAGGAGTTCCGGGAGGCCCTCGAGTCATTGCCTGCCGCAAAAGCATGAGTTCCTGGTGGACGGATGGGCCCAGTCCCAGGCCCCCAGAGTGGACACGGGGAGCCCGGGGCAGAGTCCGACGCACACGGCAGACAGCAGCCGCCGTCCTCTGAGTGGCCCGCCCAGGGAGCAAAGACGAGCCCAGGGCAGGCCCATGAAGACGCCATGGCGGGTGCACACAGCCTCAGGCGTGCCAGTAGGACAGGGCTGCACGGTCCAGAGCCAGGCCCAGCCTCCGCCTCCCTCAGGTCAGACACCTCCACGCACAGGGGTCCTGACCCTGGACCCCAGGCGACCCAGGTGGTTTCTGAGGGAGAGTGCTCTGTGTGATGCGGGCCTGGCCTGGGAAGGGAGGCTCCCGGAGCCCCACCCAGACCCTTGTCTGTCCAGGAGTCCCAGGTCACCTGAAGGCGGCATGACACATCGGGGAGAAGCACAGCCTCCACAGCGGGGCGCTGTAGCCCGGCCTCCCCACAGCTGTGGACCATGACACTGGGGCCCAGGGCACCGGCCCCGCCATCTGGGACACCTCATCCCTCCTGCAGCACGGTGGGCGGCTCCCCGCTAAGTGTCTATGGACAGAGTCAGCGGAGACACCAACCCAGACCCCACCTGTCCAGAAGCCACCAGGTCCTGCAACAGCTGTCCCCACCACGCTGGGGCCCCACGGCACCCACGCAGACCTGAGGTATGGGCTGGAGGGGTGACCCCTCCCCAGAACTGGAAGGGGCAGCCCCCCACAGATAAGGTGCTTTGTCCAGCGCCCCCCAGGGGTTCCCAGGAGAGGACAGACCCAGTGAGGTCCCTGAAGTACGGGCTTCAGGCCTCCAGGAGCCTCTCCCTGTAAGCAGAGCCACAGGCCACGAGTCACCACCCCCCACTGTGCTGCACCCCCGGGCCGCACCTCTGCTTGGAGGGTAGCTTGCTCGCCCTCTTCTCCTCCTCCTCCAGACGCCTGCGGGCCTCCTCCAGCTGGGTCAGGGGGTTGGGTGCTGGGTTGGGTGGCATTGCAGGGTCTTGGATGAAGAGGTGGGAGGGCTGGACGGAGTTCCGGAGCTGAGCACTGACCCAAGGGTGCACAGCCCCCGGACGCTCAACGGACAGAGGCCTGGTACCCTCATGGGTCGGCTGCTTCCTCACCCCGGAAGACCTGGGGAGCAAAGAACAGGCACGCCGTGGGCTCGCCGGGCAGCCATGGGGAGCCCTGGGACCGCGGCCCACATGGCCGTTGACACACTTCCTGCGGATCTTTTGAGAGAGAGATTTTTGCTATAGGGTGTGTGCGCTTGCTGGAGAGACAGAGAGACAGAAAGTGAGAAATCACCCTGCAGGGAGGATGGCCATGCCACAATCCCTTCTCCTCTCAGGATTTTGGGTATGCACGTGCATGCGCCCAGCATGAGGTTTAAGCCACTGGGTCCAGGACTCAAACCGCAGTTGGCTAATTACGCCACTTGCTGGCAACCCTGCATATCTGATTTCTAAGCTTTATCGAGACAGAAACCATTTTGTTTTTTAGATTTGGGCCATAGGGCAAGTGTGCTTGCCATAGAGACACACAGAAAGAGACAGAGATAGACAGGAGAAGTCAGAAGGGACCCCTTTCTCGTAGGCGGGATGGCCACACTGCAATCTCTCTTCCATTCTCCTTTCAGGATTTCGGGCACGCACACAAATGCACCCAGTGCATTCTTTAAGGTGCTGCACCCAGGACTACAGCCATGCAATTCCATGTGACCTGCTGGCGCCGTGAGATAGTTTTAAAAATATTTTTAACTTAACTGTTTTTAAAGAAGTATTTAATTTAATTTAGTTTATTTGTTTAATTTGCCCAGAGAGGGACAGAGTGAGAGAGAGTGAAAAAGTGAGAGAGAAAGCTGCCAGGTCCGGGACTTGAACCACAGTTGGCCCTTAACCACCACGCCACCTGCTGGCCGCTTAACTTTGTTTTTTTTTTTGGAGAGGTTTTTGCTATAGGGCCCGTGCGCTCGCCAGACAGACAGAGACAGAGAGACAGAACGCGAGAAATCACCCCCCAGGGGGAATGGCCACACCACGATCCCTTCTCCTCCGATCTCCTCTTGGGATCTTGGGCACACACGCACACGCGCCCAGTGTGAGTTTTAAGCCACCGGGTCCGGGACACAAACTGCGGTCAACTACATGGGAGTCCAGAGACATAGCCATTATGCTAACTGGTGGTCCCACCCCTTAACTTTTCTAATATTAAAATATGGGACTGGCAGGCGGCGTGGTGGTTAAGGCACTGGACTCCCACAGGGCCAAGCACAGTTCAAGTCCTGGACTCAGCAGCTTGCTTTCTCACTCTCTCTCTGGTGAGCATATGTGTCCTACAGCAAATAATAATAATAAATAAAATAATAATAATAAAAATTATTAAAATAAACATGTTGAAAACTAGAAGCTAGTTTGGTGTGTACGGAAAACTCAGAGAAGAGATACAAGCCCCAGTGTCACGTGGGCACAGCACTCCTGTACACCGGCAGAACCCTGACCCCAACATCTGGGAACACGGGACCTGACTGCACAGCCCTGAACACGGGCCTTCCCTGGCCTTGGCCTCCCCCGGCTTGGTGTCGAGAATGCGCTTTTGCTTCTGTGACATCCATCGCTCAACCACCGGGAGGGACCCGAGGGAGATGTCCGTCTCTCGGCTTCAGAAAGGGAGGTTGGCACCAGGAGCTGAGATGAGAGAGCTCCAGAAGAGGGATCCTGGGAAGAGGTCAGGGCCCCACAGCGCCAGACCGAGCCCCTCCCTTCTGGCCCCTCCAGCCCTGCAACCGCCCCGGCCTTGCCCAGCTGGAGCCTCCCAAGCCCGGGCAGTGGCAGGCATGCGTCCCTGGGAGAAGCGCTCCCATGGAAAGCCTCGAGGGAAGAGGAGGTGAAGAGCTGTCCCTGTTGGACCGAGGTGGATGGGACATAGAGGGGACGGGCACCCACAGGGCTCACGCCTCACAGGCAGGCCCAGAGCACCTGGCTACCCTGAGCAATGCTGGGCCGCAGCTGGGGTCAGGAGGTCTGAGGACACAGGCCACTGCCCGCCCTCGACGCCACTCCGAACTGAACTGCCTCTGGCCATGGCGAGGGGTGAGCCCAGGAGCCCGC